AACTTTGGATTTGGTGGATCCAAATGGTCCTTTGAAGTTGAGACCAAATGGTTCAATTTATTGAGTGGGCAATGGCACCACATTCCAAAAGGCAGGACTCCTTATGGCTGAGAGGAGCATCACTACAAAAAATGTCCATTGAGAGGAATTTCCTCTGGAGTTCCCAGAGTTCACTTGGGATTTAATGGAAGTGCGGGAAGCCAGAGAGGGTGCAAACTGGTACGGAGAGGAAAGACAGGATATGTGTATCCACCATCTTGTAACTAGGAAAGGGGAAGAACGCTCCATTCCACCATGAGAATTTCACCAGAATGCTTTTCTCCTTTGGAAGAAAGTTTAAAAACACATTCCCTTCATCAGACTGAATGAGAACAGTAAAGAAAAACTGCAGGAGAATTGTTCTGCCTGGGTTTTACTTCAAAATCACAAATGGTCCAGATTATATGATGTTATATATATATGATGTTCTCCAACACTTACCAAGCTTTTACTGTAATGGGAATATCAGGTTAGCAGACCATTTCAAGTTCTTGAAACTTTCCCCCTCTTCCTCACAATACAGTAATCCCTTCCCTTCCCTTCCTTTTGTCTTAGTATTAGCTATTTTGAGTGTCCTATGGGTAGAAAGGCAGAGTATAATGTGAAATATAAAAGTATAATAAGTGAATCTACTCATAACAAGACCAGTTCAAATACTGGTAATATTCAGTATTAAATACATCCAATTTGGTCCCTGTGATCTCCAGATTTACATTTTAATTTCAGAACCAGCATCATTTATACCTGTATACCAGAACTTTGCTGGGGAGAGGAGAGAGAGTAAGATTTGATGCCTCTTTGAAATTCTCTGATCTGTCTAAAGAAATTTTTAAAATGCCCAAACATTTGTCCACTTTTAGACAGTAGGAAAAATTAAACCTCATGAAAAGGGGAGGCAGTGTTGTGTCAAAAATCAAGTGCATTGTCATTTTCTGTGTTTGTCTGATGTCAGCTCCATAAAGTAATATTCATATCTTAATTCATTCTTAAGTAGAGTCTTCTATGTGGTCACTAAGAGTCGACACTGACTTGATGCCACATAATTAATCAAAATATATCCAGACTTCAAAAGCAATAGCAGTTTACCCCCACAAGTCAATAAACAAAAGATAGAGGCTGTTAATCTATTAAGCAACATGCATGAAATCGAAGCATTTAAAATTAACTGTACCAAACAATGTGGAAAGCCGAAAGTTCTGGGAAATTTCACAGCAGATTACGTGCTGGCATTAGTTGCTTTCAGCTGATCCTGTGCCAGTGCTTATGAACTGTATGCTGGAAGTTCCCTATTCCTGTGAGACAATTCCTGTGCCACATCTGTTCTCAACGTATCCTCTGTGATAGTTGGCAGCTCATTATTACCTTTGGCCACTGAAGCTTTTGGCTGTGTAGGCTTTGGCTCAACCCTGGCAAGACCGGGTGGCTTTGGGTTTGGGGGCCTTCTGGATCTAGGAATTTACCATCTTTGGTGCTTGATGGGTGGCACTGCCCCAAAAAGACCCTGTGCACAATCTGGGGGTCCTCCTGGATTCACGATTCCTGCTCAAAGAGCCGGTGGCAGTCATGGCTAGGAGGGCCTTTGCGCAACCTCGTGCTGTGTGCCAGTTGTGTATGTTCCTGGATTGGGAGGCTCTATTCTAATCACTCATGCCCTGGTCACCTCCCAAATGGACTACTGTAATGCGCTCTACATGGAGCTGCAAAATGATACTTGAAAAGTATCTGGAAGCATCAAGCTGCTGCAAAAAGCGATGGCACGGGCAGTTATGTGTGCCCCTCGAGCTGCACATTACACCTCTGCTCAGCAAGCTGTGCTGGTTGCCAATCTGCGTATGGGTTCAATTCATGGTGCTGGTTATGACCTTTAAAGCCCTATAGGCATAGGGCCAGGTTATTTGAAGGACTGCTTCTCCCCAGTTTCATCTACCCATACCATCAGGTCCAGCAGGAGGGGGCCCTTTGTCTGGCAGGACCCAGGAGGAGAGCCTTTTCTGCTGTGGCACATCTTTCCCCACAAAGGGAGATCGGCCCCAACTCTACTGACCTTCTCGAAAGCCCTTAAAACCTGGTTTTGTCATCGAGCCTGGGGATCCCACAGAATCTTATGGAGGCCGCAAAATGGATATCCTATTTGTAAGTTTTGGAATGCACTCTCCTGTGCTTTTGTTTTATTATAGTTTTAACTGCTTTAATTGTATTTTAATGGTTTTGTTTTTTAATCGTTTGGTTTGGTTTTTGTTACTTTAATTGTGTGTGCCACCCAGAGTCTCATATGTGAGATGGGCAGTTAATCAATCAATCAATCAATCAATCAATCAATCAATCAAATAAATGAAGTCGGTGGGAGTTGTATGCAAATTCATACGAAAAATGCCAGAAGCTGGCAATTCAGTTGTTCTGTCACAATCTCTGCTTCAGATGAGACTGTCAGCTTTTTGGTCTGTGCATGACTGGAGCTTCTGAAGGCATCTGATTAGCTCTTCTGTGACACAAAATATTGCACTAATGTAGATAACATTGGCCTGATGAAGCACATCATGATCAGCAGAGGGCCTTGTGGAGTAAAGCTGAGCTTTGCTATAAATGATAATTTTTCAATATTTTTCTAGTGTCTAGTCATTACTACTCCACAGAGAGCATCACAAAGATTTTAGAAACTGGAATTATATTTCAAAGGATTTATGCAGGTTAAAAAAATGGAGCAGTAATAAATGGTTGGAAGATGTTCCTGAGCTGACAACTTCCAATATATTAGTATTACAACCCCCATAATAACCAGATAGCATAGACAACATGTCAATTAGCAATGCTGGTAATTGTAATTCTAACATGTGCCTCATTAGGTGGCAGGCAGCCACCTAGTCAACCTTGGCTGATCTCAAAAAGCTCTTCAAGGTGAGATCTGCTTAGTATCAGGTGGTCTGTGAGCTTGACTGGAGTGAGGGCAAAGGAAATTTGTTACTCCAGAAGCTGCTGTAGCTTAAATGAGCAGGACACTGAATGAAAGTGTTTCCTCTGTCCCAAATCAGGAAGAGCCCTGATTGACTCATGCTGTCTGTTCTCAGCATTCCAAGGTAGGCAGGAGCAAAAAGGATCGCGTGGCCAACTTCAAAATACTTTGGGGGGGCAGAGAAACAGACATGAAGCCATATGGAAAAACTCTTTCTATACTGATACAGTCATGCTCTATATTTTTGTTGACCTTACTCTTGACCATTGAGCTCAAGAATTCTGCTTGTTGCAGAAAAGTAGCAGAATTAGATATTTGGAAGTTTACTGGGTACAAAAGTTACTTAGATGGCTACAGTGGGGTGTATTGATTTATTTACTTCCTCCACTTATTAAGAGGAGCTACTGACATAGAACTGAGAATACGTGCAGAAGTTTGGTCACCAAAATATTCTCCAGTCAGTTAACCAATGCAGGTACCTGTAAGTTGGCCTAGGCAGGCAAAATGGCCCAGCATTGAAGCATCCCCAAATCTACATCATATCATTGCATTAGGCTATCATCTGGACGTGCCAAATGATACTTTGTTATGCATCTGCACTGATATCATCTTGTGCGAATTTACCTTCCCTAAACAAGATAGGGAAAGCGTGCAGCGTGTGGCTTCCAGAACTTTTTCCAGCCCCTTTACCAGTGCTGGCTATAGGAGGTATCTGTTATTTTCTTCTGTGTAGTGAAGTAATGAATTGTATCAGAGTGTGTCTGTGTGCACTCTTTCTGATTGGAGCCATCAGTGTGTGTGCCTATATGGCCTTTAGCACGTGTGTGGGTGAGGGTCTAATCAGAATAGGTGTTTTACTTGTGTAGCACGTACAGTATGAAGGCCTTATCTAGGTAAATGCATATGTGTTGCCTTTGTGCATTTCTGCTCTCCCCTGGTGTTGTGTTTGTATGTGATTCTGTATGTATGTGTATGCTCCATTCTGGGTCATGATTTAGAGGGAGGGGGCTTAAGAATGAAGGACTTGGCAACATTCTAAACTGCTGCCCGTCTGCCTCCCCCATTAAGATGCCCAGGATTGTCTCTCTGCAACTGCCAGTCAGATCCAACCCATTTTGACCTTGATTTTTATTTTGCTGGTTTGTCCCACCAGATGAAATTTGGTCCCATTCCAATCTGGTTTTGGACAGATAAATGCACAGAAGGATACACAGAACGAATCCCAAGATCCTTTACATAATTTCTTTGCAACATTCTGTTGTCTTGGAAAAAATAAAATAGTGGAATATGTCCTACATGTGTGCATGAAGAGGAAATAAGAGCCCAGGTCAAGGAGTTCTTATAAACTGTTATATTTGGATCTTTTGAGATGTCTTAATTTACCAATGTTAAAAAAAATAAGAAATGCAAGAAAAAAGCCAGAACAAGAATTCATGTCTTTACTGGTTATTTCCCAACCTCTTTTGGGAACAGGGCAATAATAAACAATAAATACTGTAATGGGATTTGGATGAAGGTGCTTAAATGACTAAAGGTGACCTGCTATCTGATACAAAAGTAAGACTATGCATGAACTGGAATACATGCTTTGTTTGGAACCAGGAAGATACCATCATGTTCTGGAAATTCTGCTGAACAGTTTGGGGATAGACAGAGTCCAGCAGAAACAAAACTAAGAATATTTTGGTTGTTTGGGGTACTGGAAGAACAAAATCTGGAGTCATCATGGAATGACTTTGGAGAAGACTCTTAAGAATATTGTGGACAGCCAAGAAAACAAACCAATGGATCATCAAACAAATCAACCCAGAGTTCTCACCAGAGGCATATGACCAGGCTCAAATTATCCTACTTTGGACACATTATGCAAAGACCGAGCTCTCCGGAAAAGTCTCTAATGCTGCGAAAGGTGGAAGGAAAGAGAAGATGATGATGACCAGTAGCAAGGTGGATGGATTCAGTTGCAACGGCAATGGGTCCACTGTTGGAAGACCTGACAGACCAGGTTAGGGACAGATCATCATGGAGAAAATCCACCTATGTGGTCACTAAGAGTTGGCACCAACCTGATGGCACATAATCAAAGCTACACAAGCTTAAGATGTGTTTTATAAGCCATGATTGATAAGCACTATGGGTGACTTCCATATGGCCATTGTGACTTTATTAAACAGACCATGTTTAAAATAAACAGTGGCTTAGCACAATGAGTAAACCCAGATAATGAAACAGCTGGTGTTTACATGTTTACACCTTTTTCTTTCTGGGCACAGCCACTGTGGTAGAATGGTTAAGGTTTTGTTTGTCAGAGAGACCTGGGTTCAGCCATGGAAGCTCACTCAGTGACTTGGGACTATCCTTACTCTCTCTCAGTCCAGCCCACCTCACAGGGCTGTTGCAGAAAAATGGAAGGAAGGAGTGGTCTGTACGCCATCTTAAGTTTCTGAACGAAAGGAGGGATGTAAATCTATTAGGAGTTGACACCGACTTGATGGCACCCAATCGATTTTAAAAAGGGGGCAAGCCTAATGCATGTTACTCCCTTTCCTGCTCAGCAACTGCCAGTGTAGCGTATCCCACTGGACTTCTGGCCAGTTTCCTCTCTTCACCGCCACCACCACCAAGGCACTGGCCTGTGTACTGTGACTGCCTCAACAGTAAGGAAGAGCAAAGGAAGTAGGTGCTTGGTATCCCTTAACTTCCTTTGACACCCACTTCTCTGAATTGTAAGATCATTCTGTGATGGCTCCTTTTCAGACTTTGCAACAGGCCAGTTTACCTTTTTCCTCCCCAAACATTGCTTAAATGTACGCCTGGTTCGCCCACTGGGATCTCCTGACTTTATGGCCCATTTGCTCTTCTCCCTCTCCTTGATGCCTGGGAAAGTGAAAGACTGGCATCATAGCTCTTGTATGTCTCTCAGTCAGCACATTAAAAATTCTGTATCTTAAAGGTAAGAAAATGCAGAAGACTGGTGCTTAGCTTCTGCTTATTCTGACAGTCAGTTTGCTTGGTCATTAGGGAGTCATTTCCCACAGAAATCTAGTCTGCCTTTACTGAATTCCTTTTCCTCTTTCACCTCGCAGGGGATAATATCTGGGAATATTGCAACTTGCATTTCCGGTTGTCTGAAAACATTTTTAAATCTCTTTCTCCCTCAACCAGTCCTGTAATTCCAGTGCATTGGATCCAGACAAGGGTGCCACCAGACCCTATAATTTCACAAAAATGCTACTGCTCTCCTTTCAGTATCTAAGATACATGAACAGCATTCCAAACTACAAAAAGGGTTGGCTAAGGCTCATGAGATATTTTTAAACTTCCTGAGAAATCAGATTCTAGTTCATCTGTGGTCTCCACAGGAATATTGCTCAGGTCTGAGTCTGATGAATGTGACCATTTTGACTGCCATGCAATTAACGTATCTGGCACCATCCTGCAGTGGCATCTTGGCGGCTGCATCAGGCTTTCTATAGGAGAAGGACCTGATTGGACAAAGCCTGTGTAAGAGTGCGGTTGATTAAGGTGAGATGGGCAGAATCCAGCTGCTCCTGTGCCCAGGGACTGGGCAGAAGAAGGGTCATTAGGCAAACAGCAGCTCTGGGAACAGCTGCATTTTCCAAATCCTTGGTGAATGCGCAATTTAGCAACAAGTGGCTTGCCGATGTTAACCACCTTCCTTTCATCCACAGTGTCCTCAAGTCCCATATATTCATAATGCAGGCAAACAGTGAATGTTAAATCTTCCTATGATTTAAAGGGAAATATATTAATAATGATAGCCTTTTACTGCCAGGCATTCAAACCAACACAATATTA